GTAACATTTGAATGAACAGTTTGAATGAAATATATTTTATTCGCATTGCTCAAATTTTCTGTATATATATATATATATATATATAATAACTCTATTACGGTAGTTAAACGGACTTGCCATAATTGCAGCACTTAAGCGAACGTCGTCCCTTTGTCCGTATTATTATTTTTGAATACAGGCACGGAGCGTGTGAGAGCCATTGACGACTACGCAGAAAAGGAGTCAAAACAATCCTCTCGATGACAAACATAAAATTTTTGTCCGCTTAATTCGTCCACCTAATTCAGACCACTAAATGTTTTAGCCTATTTCGCCACTAAGACGGACCCCATTTATATGTCGCCCTGAATGTCTGCATAAATGATATTACTTTTAAAAATGGCTCTTCAGTGCATAACAAACACATATTCATTCGCGGTGAATGTAAATGATTGCAAATTGTTTATTTGAAATTTATAATTGTAAACGGGTATTTATGTTAGTACTACACATTTTAAAAAGTATGACCTCGCTTCAATTTCCAATGAATTCGAACACTTAACCAATATTTATCTCATAGAATAACGTTTTTTTTTTTAATTTTTATTCAAAAATTCTGAAATCATATCGGAAAACATTACACGAAGCAGATCTCAAATATCACCTAAAATCGACATATGACAGTAAAACAAAAATTCAAATTGCCAATCATTTTGAGAATCAGTATTCAAAACATATCTCAAATGCCCACATATCACTAAAATCGGCACATAAATAAAAAACAAAAATCCGGGATGCCAATCATTTTGAGAATCAGTAATCTCAATATATATCAAATGTCCACCTATCCGTTCACTTAAATCGACATATGATTGAAAAACGAAAATCTAAAATGCTAATGTTTTTGAGAATCAGTATTGAAAATATAACCTAAATGTCCACCTATCCGTTCACTTAAATCGACATATAATTGAAAACCGAAAATCAAAATGCCAATAATTTTGAGAATCACTAATCAAAATATATCTTAAATGTCCACCTATGTGTGCACTTAAATCGACATATAATTGAAAAACGAAAATCCAAAATAGAATCACTACTCAAAATATATCTTAAATGTCCACCTATGTGTGCACTTAAATCGACATATAATTAAAAAACGAAAATCCCAAATGCCAATCATTTTGGGAATCCGAACACATATTATATTCTAAATGTCCATCTATCCGACAACTTAAATCGACATATAATTGAAAAACGAAAATCCAAAATGCCAATCATTTTGAGAATCAGTAATCAAAATATATCTTAAATGTCCACCTATCCGTTCACTTAAATCGACATATGATTGAAAAACGAAAATCTAAAATGCTAATGATTTTGAGAATCAGTATTGAAAATATATCTTAAATGTCCACCTATCCGTTCACTTAAATCGACATATAATTGAAAAACGAAAATCAAGAATGCCAATAATTTTGAGAATCACTAATCAAAATATATCTTAAATGTCCACCTATCCGTTCACTTAAACCGACATATAATTGAAAAACGAAAATCCAAAATGCCAATAATTTTGAGAATCACTACTCAAAATATATCTTAAATATCCATCTATCCGTTCACTTAAATCGACATATAATTGAAAAACGAAAATCCAAAATGCCAATAATTTTGAGAATCACTAATCAAAATATATCTTAAATGTCCATCCATCCGTTCACTTAAATCGACATATAATTGAAAAACGAAAATCCGAAATGCCAATAATTTTGAGAATCACTAATCAAAATATATCTTAAATGTCCACCTATCCGTCCACTTAAATCGACATATAATTGAAAAACGAAAATCCAAAATGCCAATAATTTTGAGAATCACTAATCAAAGTATATCTTAAATGTCCACCTATCCGTCCACTTAAATCGACAATTGATTGGAAAACGAAAATCCAAAATGCCAACAATTTTGAGAATCAGTAATCAAAATATATCTAAAATGTCCACCTATCCTTTCACTTAAATCGACATATGATTGAAAAACGAAAATCTAAAATGCTAATGATTTTGAGAATCAGTATTGAAAATATATCTTAAATGTCCACCTATCCGTTCACTTAAATCGACATATAATTGAAAAACGAAAATCCAAAATGCCAATAATTTTGAGAATCACTAATCAAAATATATCTTAAATGTCCATGTATCCGTTCACTTAAATCGACATATAATTGAAAAACGAAAATCCAAAATGCCAATAATTTTGAGAATCACTAATCAAAATATATCTTAAATGTCCACCTATCCGTCCACTTAAACCGACATATAATTGAAAAACGAAAATCCAAAATGCCAACAATTTTGAGAATCACTAATCAAAGTATATCTTAAATGTCCACCTAAATCGACAAATGATTGAAAAACGAAAATCTAAAATGCCAACAATTTTGAGAATCACTAATCAAAGTATATCATAAATGTCCACCTATCCGTCCACTTAAATCGACAAATGATTGAAAAACGAAAATCCAAAATGCCAATAATTTTGAGAATCACAAATCAAAATATATCTTAAATGTCCACCTATCCGTCCACTTAAATCGACATATAATTGAAAAACGAAAATCCAAAATGCCAATAATTTTGAGAATCAGTATTGAAAATATATCTTAAATGTCCACCTCTCCGTCCACCAAAAATCCAAAATGCCAATAATTTTAAGAATCAGTATTGAAAATATATCTTAAATGTCCACCTATCCGTTCACTTAAATCGACATATAATTGAAAAACGAAAATCCAAAATGCCAATAATTTTGAGAATCACTAATCAAAATATATCTTAAATGTCCATCTATCCGTTCACTTAAATCGACATATAATTGAAAAATGAAAATCCAAAATGCCAATAATTTTGAGAATCACTAATCAAAATATATCTTAAATGTCCACCTATCGACAAATCGATATGAAAAACGAAAATCCAAAATGCCAATAATTTTGAGAATCACTAATCAAAGTATATCTTAAATGTCCACCTATCCGTCCACTTAAATCGACAAATGATTGAAAAACGAAAATCCAAAATGCCAATAATTTTGAGAATCACTAATCAAAATATATCTTAAATGTCCACCTATCCGTCCACTTAAATCGACATATAATTGAAAAACGAAAATCCAAAATGCCAATAATTTTGAGAATCAGTATTGAAAATATATCTTAAATGTCCACCTTCTCCGTCCACCAAAAATCCAAAATGCCAATAATTTTAAGAATCAGTATTGAAAATATATCTTAAATGTCCACCTATCCGTTCACTTAAATCGACATATAATTGAAAAACGAAAATCCAAAATGCCAATAATTTTGAGAATCACTAATCAAAATATATCTTAAATGTCCACCTATCCGTCCACTTAAACCGACATATAATTGAAAAACGAAAATCCAAAATGCCAACAATTTTGAGAATCACTAATCAAAGTATATCTTAAATGTCCACCTAAATCGACAAATGATTGAAAAACGAAAATCTAAAATGCCAACAATTTTGAGAATCACTAATCAAAGTATATCAAAATGTCCACCTATCCGTCCACTTAAATCGACAAATGATTGAAAAACGAAAATCCAAAATGCCAATAATTTTGAGAATCACAAATCAAAATATATCTTAAATGTCCACCTATCCGTCCACTTAAATCGACATATAATTGAAAAACGAAAATCCAAAATGCCAATAATTTTGAGAATCAGTATTGAAAATATATCTTAAATGTCCACCTCTCCGTCCACCAAAATCCAAAATGCCAATAATTTTAAGAATCAGTATTGAAAATATATCTTAAATGTCCACCTATCCGTTCACTTAAATCGACATATAATTGAAAAACGAAAATCCAAAATGCCAATAATTTTGAGAATCACTAATCAAAATATATCTTAAATGTCCATCTATCCGTTCACTTAAATCGACATATAATTGAAAAATGAAAATCCAAAATGCCAATAATTTTGAGAATCACTAATCAAAATATATCTTCAATGTCCACCTATCCGTCCACTTAAATCGACATATAATTGAAAAACGAAAATCCAAAATGGCAATAATTTTGAGAATCACTAATCAAAGTATATCTTAAATGTCCACCTATCCGTCCACTTAAATCGACAAATGAAAAACGAAAATCCAAAATGCCAATAATTTTGAGAATCACTAATCAAAATATATCTTAAATGTCCACCTATCCGTCCACTTAAATCGACATATAATTGAAAAACGAAAATCCAAAATGCCAATAATTTTGAGAATCAGTATTGAAAATATATCTTAAATGTCCACCTCTCCGTCCACTTAAATCGACAAATGATTGAAAAACGAAAATCCAAAATGCCAATAATTTTGAGAATCAGTATTGAAAATATCTCTTAAATGTCCACCTATCCGTCCACTTAAATCGACATATAATTGAAAAACGAAAATCCAAAATGCCAATAATTTTGAGAATCACTAATCAAAGTATATCTTAAATGTCCACCTATCCGTTCACTTAAATGGACATATAATTGAAAAACGAAAATCCAAAATGCCAATAATTTTGAGAATCAGTATTGAAAATATATCTTAAATGTCCACCACTCCGTCCACTTAAATCGACATATAATTGAAAAACGAAAATCCAAAATGCGAATTATTTTGGGAGTCAGTAATCAAAATATATCTCAAATGTCCACCTACTCGACATATAATTGAAAAACGAAAATCCAAAATGCCAATCATTTTGAAAATCCGAACACACATAGTATGTCATACTATATCTCAAATGTCCACCTATCCGACAACTTGAATTGACATATAATAAAAAACGAAATATGATATGGTAATTGAAAAATACGAAATATCAGAGCCATATTGAGAATTAGTACACATAAATTTCTCAAATGTTAACCTATCTTGCCACTTAAGTGTGCAAATGATAAAAAAACGGAATTCTGAAATTCTCTAATAATATTGAGAAATATTTCTTAAATGTTCACATATCTGACCACTTAATTCACTACCCAAATAATAAAAAAAATATGGAATGCCAAGCATTTTGAGAATCAGAATAAATACGTATACGGCCTTTTAAGTGTTACACGCAATTGAAAAATGAAATTTGGAACACCGCTCCCATTGAAAAACATTGCACAAAATATTTTCAAAATGTCCACCTATTTGACAACATGAGTGCGGCATAATTAAAAACGAAATTTTAAAATTAGATTGAGAAACGACACCAAAATATATCATAAATCACCCATCTGACCTCTATAATTGTGACATTGAGTTAATTCTGGGAGCATATTGATATTTAAAATGTCCAATTATTCGACTAAGTTTAGTGTAACCTATAACACAATGGACACAATGAATATGTAACGCTGACACATTCGCTGATAAAAGTATTAAATAAAAGAATCAGGTTCGGTACCGCGACCATTAATTAAAAAGAAACTGCAAGTCAACTTAATAGGCTCATTCGGTCAAAGCTTTTAAGCTGGCATCATACTTTCGTCTAAATTTATTTCGTTCGTTAAAGACTTTTGTGTGTGTTGCACAAACTTTTTCTTTTTCGCATAGACCTTCGAGAATATCATGATGCTTTTCTAGAAATTCTTTTATTATCTTCCGGCCTGCAGAAAAAGGAAGTATAATTTAACGTTTCGCATTCACTTTTCAGAGAGGACATTTAGATTTACTAGCCAGCTTGAAAAATTCAAATGCTTACTCCTAAAACCATGCTTTAACGCACAATTTTTTAAATAACCAGCTATTTTAACACCCTTCAACTTAAAAAATAGCTAGCAAATTTAAAATTAACCACTTAATTAGAAGCTTTATCCAAAAAAGGTTTGAAATCAAATGAAGATACCTGGTAAAGTGCCCTTGCACCCTGTAGATGAGGTGTCCTCGATATAGGATTTGAAAAAGGTCAAAAGACTGGACGTGGCAGAAGGCGACCATCTTGTATATCTTCTTACTAAAACAGATAATGGCAGTTCAATAATTATTTAGGTGTTGAAAAGTGTAACAAAAGCACTAACCTCGTTTTTTTCCTATAATTTCTTCATCACATAGGGACGTACCGGATGATGATTGAGTAGTATTTTGCAACTGCGTAGAAATTGAAGTTTCTAAAAAACAAGATTAATGTTAAATTAATTGAGGAGAAAATTTAACACTCTAATTGTTTGTGGAACAAAACGCAATATTCCTGCTTATACTAGCTCAAAATCATAACATTATGGTTATGGTAAAATACAGAAATACAAACCTCTTTCCCTGAATTCTTCTTCACCTTCTTCGAACGAAGAGATACTATGTTTTTCAGAAGGTGTTGGTGCAATATTATGAAGATTACCTGAAAAACATATCCAATAGTATATCGAAACAACAGAATGTGAATAAGGGAAGCTAATTCGATTAAGTATGAAATCCACATATAGCAATTATAGTGAATCAAACACAAATTGCTAGGATAAGATTTTGCCTAACGAAATGATTGCTAGCCTCACCTTGGGGAAGTGAAAATCCATCTATATTAGCCAAGTATGATCCGACTTGTGTTATTTCTTGTACTGCCAGTGGACATTGATAAACGTTTTTGTTTATTTCTTTGGAGTGTCCCATGTGACGAAAAAAAGCATCCCTGAAATTTTCGGGTACATCGAGTTCGGCATACAAAGTTGCTGCTCTGTGCCGCATTTGTGTAGCTGTAATATTGGTTTTTATTCCCGCAGCAGTAGCGACATCCTTTGTACAGTGCCAGCCGCTGGCATGATCCATAGAATGGCGTGTACTGGGAAACAGGAATTCATTTTTATTGTTTATATCGCATAGCTGCCGTATCTCTGGATCTGAAAGCGCGTCTAATGCTTCGACACAGTCAGGCGGCACAAGTGCTGGGACTAGATGAGAAATGCCTTTCCCACCGTGATATATTACTTTAAAATTATCCATAAGAAACTTGTCCATCGGCGAAATTGCTTTTGAACGACGTTGCTTATCGATCCATTGTTCCCTTTTTGCCTCTTCCCAGTGCCTCACCAACAACCTACTTGGCTCGCCTCCTCGCCTAGCATTAAAAAGCGTTAAACGGGAGATAACCAAATTACGGACAACTATGAATTTTTCGGGGCCCCACAATGACAAATCATCACTGACTTCTCGCTGCATCGTTTCAAGGGTGTACTTTCGAATCTGTGTCACGTCGTTTTCAATAGGTAGCTCACTTGGCAATCTTAGTTTAGATTGTCTATTTTTTACAACCTGGTATTCGGCATCGCCAAAATTTCGTATCCATCTTAATTGTAAAACAGCTTCGAACTTTTCTATTTGTTCCGCTTTTTCGTCATCCAAATTCATGAGGTGGGTTCCTTTCATTACTTTGGCAGCCATTTTGAGTAAATTTCCAATATTGACCATTAACCCCGATTTTAATGCACCATCCTCGTGTGTTGCAATATTTTGTATGGCTTCTTCTAAAATCATAAAATACTCGCGTCGAAGCATATTCTCCGACGATACATTTACATTTTGTTTTGTTGCACACGATTTGAATTCGACAAAAAGGGATGCCAACAATCTCATATTCGCCATTACGGCCTTCCTCGATTCTGATTTCTTTTCAGTTTTCTTTCGGTGTTTCTGAAATTGGCTTCGGCCGACAGTCTTTATTAACTCATCCTGTCTACATAAATTTCCCTTTTCGTCATTTTGAAATCGTGTGAGCAAGTCAGCAAATGCTTCATCACCATGACAAACCATGGATTCGACGCACAAACCCGTCGCAGAAGCAGGACTACCAAATTTGCTTCGACACAACTGATGATGTCTGTGAAATGTTTTTCTTTGGAAGAAGCCGGAACAGTTGGTGCAAATTTTCATACTGCCACGGCCTTGGTGTCTTTCCGCTATTAACGGTTTACGGTCCTTTAACATTTGCATGTTATATTGGAAGATTCCCTTTTTTCTTATTATATCAAATTCTTGCTGCCTTTTTGCAAAGGGGAGCGAAAATATTTTGCATATTGTCGGCTCCTCTTTATGTATAGTGGACAAATGTCTTTTAAGTTTGACAATAAATTTCCCGCAGAATAAGCAAGGCCGTGGAATTCTCTTTTTTCTGTTTGTTTCCTTTTTGGATTGCATTTCTTTATTCAAAAGCTTTTTTGGCTTCGATTTACAACCGTTATCGTCTTTGTTATTTGTATGGTTTTCTTTAGAATCACTCAAATCGCTTATTGAAAGTGACTCTGAAGATGCTGGGACATAGTCTGTAGACTCATCTAGAATTTTAATAAAAATACATGCATTAGTCACAAAATATCATCATTGTGTTTTGGTCTAGTCAAATAAATTTGATGTGATTCAATTAATTCCCACCATTAAAATAACAGGATAAAGTAAATGGGGTGGTCCATTATCACTAAAACGTACATCAAAGTTCTGTATAATCATTTTTTTAATTTTATGCCTAAAAGTTTCAATGCTACCATGACAGTGAAGCACAGTTTTAGAAATTCTAGACAAGTATGCGCAGATACCAGCGCTATTCTATATTGGGGACATATATTGTCATAATTTGGTTTAGTACCATGTATCGATATTTATTTGCTACTGAGTTAATAACAATAAACAAGCATAAAAACACATTTAGTTACCTCCTGTCACAGCAACCGCGGAGTCACTTTCAGCATTTCCGTCTGCTAAGTTTTGAAGGGTCGGCCATCTCGCGGGAGAATCACCTAAATGAGAACACATATACAGCCTAGAGCAGGGGTACACAACTCAAATGAGGACACGTGCCACATTTTTCAAAATACGTGCCACGCACAATCGTTATTACTGTGAATTACCTCCCGTAGAACACACATCAAACAAATTTCAATATTATAACATAATAACGAATATTTATTTATTGAAACAATTTAATGTCCTAAAAAACTACTAATTTAGATATAAACGTGATATTTTATTGTATATCATAAATGATTTTTTTTACAAAACCGTTCGCGTGCCACGTTTGAGCGTATGGCGTGCCAACGTTGGCATGCGTGCCCCATGTTGTTCACCCAGGCCTAGAGAATAGCCGGATAATTATGATAAAATAAAACGGTGATACGCGCCAGATCACAAATAATCCGAATAAAAAAATATCGTAATAAGAGCCGTTCTATTATATACTTCAAAGAAAAAATATATTTTTACTGAACTTTACAAACCTATACTATGTGGCATCAACCCATCGGATGTGATATCTCCTACTTCTCGAGGAAAAAATAAATCGATTGCATTTTCAAATTCTTCGTTTGTATTGTTATCTGCATTTAGGAATTCTGGTAAATTACACACTCTTGCAAATGAAATCCGAAATCTTGAAATAGTTTTATTACCAACCTGATTGATTTTGATATAAAATATTGTTTATTCCGGTGTCGCTGTTTTCTGTGAATGTTACAAGATTAACCAAGTTACTAAAACACCAGATATAAATATTACATTCAAGAATATTATAGCTTTATTCTGCGTTACTGTTGTTTGCACTGTTCGAAAATCTTTCTGTACATTACATATTCATTTGCTAAGCCAAATTTATGAAATATTTTCACTGTCAGTTCTATGACTATGTACATTTTGGAAACTTAATACTAAAACTCGAACCAGTTGAACCTAGGATTTTTTTCCTCAGTGACACTTATTCTCTGTTTACAAAATTCACAATTATATGCTTATATACTTATAATTTCATCTTAATATACTAGCACAGAAACCTGTATTAGGCGGTGCCAACAAATCTCCAAATTCTTCAGTCAAAAATAAATCTATTTCCCCGACACCGACATTGTTAATATCTTCTGTACTTTCTGCATCTTCTGCAGAACCTTGTAAATGACAATGATTTGCTTCGTAACTAAAACCTGATTAGACATGCCAAATAATTTGTATCTCAAATCTGCGAAATCATAATTCTCTTTAAAAGCTAATGCTGCTAATATCTATAAGCGCAATAAAAACTCTACAAATAATGCTCGGAAGGGCATAAATATAAAAACTTTCTGTATATATATTATATGTTGTTTTCACTCTTCTCTGTTTACGATTGCACTGTAGTTTGTACTAGGCTACTGTAATCTAGTTTTTTATATAGATCAGCATCTTTGTTTAAAACAAACCCATTAAACGTTGAATCAGGTTTTACGTAACGTAAAAAGTTCACTTACTCTGGCCGATAGACCACTTTATTTTACGCCAAGGTGCGTTTGGGTAATTGTAGTCGTATCGGATTTCGTCTCCTACGTTGATGTCTCGACGAGCAAATAAGCAAAGGTGAGGGACATCTTCCACTACTATTTTCTTCATTGTTGCGTTCGGATTGTTCCAATCATCATTTGCATATTTGCATATACAGTCAGTTTCTTGGGCATCAATGCTAAATTAATCACGGGTTAAGCAAGTCACCATCTTGTGAATATAATGCTGAATTTCAGTTTGGGTGATTCAGTAAGAACTCAGAATGCATGTTTTGAATAACTAACAAAGAGCGTATTTAGTGAATTATACTTGGATTTTCATAGACGGAGTCTAAACAGGTATATATATATTCATGAGGCACTAATAACTTTTCCATTGCCCTCCAAATACAACCGTTTAAAGTTGAAAGATATACATAGATGATATAATATTAAAATAATCTAATAGAACAAAGTTTACCCAAATCTCATAAAAATGATTGGCAATTTATTAAAAATTTGATAGCAGATTGTATTAAACAGGAGCTCTTACCAGAATATTTTGGATGAGTGTTGAAAAAAATAAGTGAAAATGCTCTCTGTCGCTAGACCGTCATCTTCATCTAGTCTTTTGCCTTTATACTCTAACAAAAAGTCGCCCTGACAGAATGATTTTTCAGCGAAAAGACCTTTGCCTATAATACGATAAAAGAAGATTTTACATTGAGATGTTGTTGCTCATTAATATTTTATAACTTTTTGATAATTTTCGAATTTAACAGCCCTCGTGAAAACATGATGATTATTACAAACGAAATCCCTAGATCATCGTGACCACGATATAAAGTTGTTCCTAAACATATCATAAACATTTATTACATATGCCACATAGGTTTGCAGATGTTATTATTTGAGGGAAACGTCACAGCATTAATGACATCAACGACTCATAATTGATATTTTTCAGTTAACTCAATTTTTCCTATTTACATACCAATTTCAGAATCCACCAGTTTTACAGAAAAATCGGATGTGGACAAATTTTTCAAACAACTTTCCTTTGCAACATCGATGGGTTTTCTCCCTCGCTTGCTTTGCAGTCGAAGCATTATTTTGATGGTCAGAATTGTGACCAGTAAAAACATAACAGGATCAACAGTCTATATTTTGCTAATCTGGATTGAATGAAAAATCTCAACAGCATAAATATAGTGACCTAATCTGACAATAACCAGCAACCTTCCTCATAATGAGGTTCAGAATCTCTGCGGTGTAAGATACTTCCAAAATATTATTGCAAGCTTGATATGACTCGACCTTCTGTCAACTCACTGGCTAATTGATAACACGTAGCAGAAAAGACTCGAATCACTTCTATAACAACACAACAGATTATTGTAAGCTAAATGGTTGCATTCATTCACGTATAAAGTTACTAATTCCCTCTTTGCATCCACCCCACGTGCGAAAGAAAACCTGCAAGCGTGTTTAGTCTCCGATAGTTTTCCTATTACGTCACTAAGCCCGCTTTGAAAAGGAGTTGTAAATGAGGGTCCTTTTCAGTTTATCACCCTTTAAATGCGAAATACAGCCTGCACGACCTTCATATTTTGCTTGTTTATCGTCTCAAAATTATCAAACCCACACTCAAAAAATCGTAAAAACATATACCTGAAAATCAAAAGATTTTTGCATAAACAAAATGTCCACTTAATGTATGAAAATTATACCCGTCGAATATAAACTAGCAGATCTACCGTCCGCTCAAAATTCGCGAAATATGCAGATACATTAAAAATATTGGAGGAACACAATATTTTTAATACTATTTTTTTAAAGAAAGAGAGCTTTCAGCAAAAAAAACTCAAAAAATTTAGTTACGGAAGGTGTAATAATTAAGTGGACAGGAAAATGTCGACTCAATTTTTCCGTCTACATAACTGTCGCTATTTTAGCATGGTATGTCTACTTAACTACCGTATTAGATATATATATATATAATATATATATATATATATATACTGATTCAATATATATATATACCGAGAGAAGAGTCGATGAGACGGCCTAGTCATATGGCGAACCACGGCCTCTCATCCGGTTAAGGGTTATGTATTGTATGGAAATAGTTTACCAGCCCTTTCAAAAGCATGGACTTCATGGAGGAAGCCGTAATCAACAAGTAGTTACGTGACCCATCGAAGAGTCCATCAATACTCTCGCACATAATTGGGACAAGTTCCAGGTAATCAGATGTATTCTTACGTCTAGCACAGCGCGCCAACCGCCCATTCTGAGCATTTGGGCGGTTTCAAAAAATTTCTCGCCGGCTTTTAGTTTTGTGCTCTGGTATTTTTATTTCACCCGCTTTCTGGTCAACCAATTTATAATAATAACAACATAGCAATGCTCAAATATATAATCAAGAAGACTCAAACGAAGTTACACTGGTAACTGACCACCACACAGTAACGAGACCGACCCATTTTGCATAAGTTTCAATTTATATGACGTCATCGCACACAGAACAAACGAATCCCATAGAGACCACTAAAACTTTGAAATAAATAAAAGCAGTGGCGGCGCATTAATAGGGCCAACCGGGGCAATGCCCCGGTTGTTTTTTCGGTATAATAAAAAATATTTGAAAAATACCTCAATATCGGTTGCACAGACTGTCTACACCATAGGTTCTCAAAGTGCTCCGTACGGAGCCCCAGGGCTCCGCAAGAGAAACCCAGGGGCTCCGCGAGCTATTCGATTACTTTTTAAAATACTGACTAATTTCGTAACTGTTCAAAGAAGCAATAACAGCTTTGATAATATATGACAACAGTATAGCCTCGAAATATGGCAAAGAGGCGGAATTAAAAAAATGACATTATTTATAAGCAGGAGCGCAGCAAGGATTCTTAAGAGGGAGGTGGTTCAAAATTGGAATCGGAAATTTCCGCGCAACATTTTTTGCGATTGAAAAAACGGATAACGAGATTTCTGTTGCGTAAAATATTCAATCCATGTCCATGTCCACATATTCAATCGTTACTCACGTTTGATTCGAGATTACTATTAGGATTACTAAAATGAAAGCATACTATTCTAAAATAACATAAAATACGTGATAAACTGCCAACTATAAATAAATTGGAGTCGTATTTTTGCGATCTTGGAATTTGTCAAACTTGATTCGTTCTTTCGCACTTAAGATTATTTTTAAGCAAGATATCGCCGTTTAAAAAATCGCAATGTCTGGGCAAAATACGGACAATTGAAATTTATTTTATTGCATTCGGCTCCGTTGGTAGTTTCAGAATGAAAAAGGGTACATCGCGGATCGCGCGCACAATTGATTGCGTGCGGCTCCGTCGGTAGTTTCAAAATGGGGAAAAAAGGTACATCGCGCGCACAATTGACTGTGTTTCGATTTCGCAGTTACTACTACGATGAAAACCTAACATAACACCAAATTTTGTGATTTACAATGTCTATAAAAGCGTTTTCAATCTGAGGCGAGTCTGCTGAAACCAAACGTGTGATCTTCCATTTTAAGTTTTAGTTTTAATATTATAGAATGCCGCTTTTCAATCAAGAAATGTGAGTTGCGGATTTACCTCTTTATTAATTATTATTTTTAGCTTTTCATCGTCGATGACTATAATATGGTAACATATTTTTCACATTCAACTGATGATTCCCCACGAGAACAAAAAAGCAATTAACGTCGTCATTGTGTAACAATACATGTATATGCCGATCGACCCCTAATTTATTAGTATGTTTGTCAAGTGTCAAATTTACAGCTTTAGTATATATATATAATTTATGCTTAAAATTTAGTTTTATTTATGACTTGCATCAACCCTATTAAAAAAGGTTCAGCATTTAAATTGGGTAAAGTACTTTTAACTTGCTCAGGAATATTAATCTGAAAGTAACAATTTTAACATTTATTTTGGGGCTCCGTGAATAATAGTCAACCTTTTCAAGGGCTCCGCAACACCAAAAGTTTGAGAACCCCTGGTCTACACTAACATATTCTCCCGACATGGTTCATTTTTCGCTCGCATAGCCTTTGCCGAACGTCGACGGGGCGACGCCGATTTTGCCCCGGTTGCTCATTGTATATCGTATTCTCTCTTTTATCTTCCACTCGCCGCGTTTGTCTCGTTTGTTTTCTGTTTCTTTTACTAAATCATCGGGGCCTTTCTTACAACAACGTGTTGACATATTCACGCATTCCTCCTCGTTCGTTGGTTGCTTGAAGAGTTGATAGTTTCCTCGCCTTCGTTTTTGTCGCTTGTTTCGCTATTTGAATCAGTTAGAGACCTTTAGTCCATTTGCTTTCGATTTTCCACATTCCTTTTGAGCTCCTCACTTCTTTCCGGCTTCGCATTTCTTAGCCTTAGACCTCATAATGAATAAGGTTGATGCACTACTTCGCACTCCGTTTTCACAGCTGCCGCTGGAACAAAAATTAGAGGTACAACGTCTTGGGCCTTATCAACCAAAAAAATGTTCACTGGAACGATCCCATGACGGAGGAAAGCGTCGGCGTACATTCTGCGCATAAACTTGGTATAAAAAACACGAATGGTTGTGTTACAGCGAGGACAAAAATGCACTTTTTTGTTTTTATTGCCTACTTTTTGCTACCGCCCGTGACTCACGTTGGTGTAAATTTGGTTTTAGAGATCTTAAACATCTTTCCGAGCGTGCCAGGGATCATCAATCTTCTATGGAGCAACTGGACAATGCAGTAAAATACCGAACATTCGGAAATGTTAATATTGCAGCACAGTTGGGTGAAGGACGCGCGGTTTCTATTCGTCGGCACAACCAAAACGTCGAGAAAAACCGCCATGTTCTCGGTCGATTGATAGATGTTTTGAAGTTCATTGGTTGTCACGAGCTGTCCCCCCGTGGGCACGATGAACGGGCTGGCTCTTCTAATAGAGGGGTATTTTTGGATATGGTGGAATACACCGCATCCCTAGATACAGTATTGAGAGATCATCTTGATGCCGCAACTGTTTCGAAAGGGACATCTAAGGATATCCAAAATGATTTGCTCGACTCAATGTATAAAATTTATTTACAACATTTGGCTCTGGAAATTGAGAATTGCCAGTTCCTTTCGATTCAGTCTGACGAGACAACTGACATCACGTGCGTTTCCCAACTGGCTGTGATTTTTCGGTTTGTGAAAGATGGTAAACATACCGAGAGATTTCACAGCTTTGTACCAATCGTTGATCGCACGGCTTGCGGGATATCGCCTGTACTGAAAGAAGTGTTACAGCCTTACAACACGAAGTCAAAATTGATAGCTCAAACTTATGACGGCGCGGCTGTCATGAGTGGGTCGAAACATGGTGTTCAAGTTCATATAAAAGAAGATTTTCCTCATGCGCATTTTTTACATTGTTATGCACACCAATTTAACCTCGTTATTAAAAATATGTGTCTTGATACCCCTCTCGACCGTATATTTTTTGCAAATGTTTCGGGGTTTTTTTCCGTTTCGCCGAAGCGCTCTGAGCGAACATTCGGCACGCTGAAGCGTATTAAAACGTATCTCAGATACACAATGAAGCAAGATAGATTAAATTCCTTGGCTGTTTTATCCATTCACAGAGACGTTATTTCTGGGATGCATGACTTTAATCAGCGCGTTATTGAGCATTTTGCTTCCAAGAAACCGCGGCGTGTTGCATATATGTTCAAGCAGTAGAAGTCTAGCAGCATATATATCTATGAGTGAGCGACGCATGTCCTTATCTTTGCATAACTTTCCTTTCTTCATAGTAACGTTTTATACCTTATTTTAGGTTTTGTCTGCTTTCCCGAAGTTTCTGTTAATATGTCATTGTATTTATCTGGGTAAATATTGCCTTTCCTTTTGAAAGAGGTTTCAAAATAAACTATGTCTATATTTATTAATCCCTTGACTTGGACCGGTTTTAAAGACACTTTCTTATCGTTAAAAATTGTCGCTTTTGCCGATTGGTTGTTACCGATGGAATGGTTTTTATACTCATAAAATGATGGGAGAACTTACAGCACTCATCCTGTCCCCGTATATGGGGGTGACTTGGTCCCGCAGTAGCTTGCCCCGGTTGTCAAAATGACTACGCGCCGCCACTGAATAAAAGTAATAGCTTCCTAGTAATGATAACAACAATCTGTAACCACTGAATATTGCAATCAATTGGTTCTGTGGTTGAAGAGAAAAGCCATTTTTTCACAACAACAGAGAAGAATACCGTCAACAATAACACATTTAATCACTGAAGCAATCCATAGGCTCACTTCGATCCCAATAAGTCTCTATCTCAGGTGAATCCCAACTTTGTTTTTCCACAAAAAAAAAAACATGAAACACAATATTTTTGAATTCTACAAACTATATTTGATATTCATATTATAAACAAAAGCAATTTTCATTATAGAAATCCAACATTGCGGAAATAAATATTCATCCTAAATACTAGATAGCGGATGAGAAGGTCTGTCTGAACTTTTAAAGAAAAGTAATGGATGCTTATCTTTCATGGGGATTAATTCTTCTGAGCCGTAATTGCATATTTGAAAATGAATCACAAAACAAAATTACCAGATTAGTGATTCCCAAAGTGGGCACTATTGATCCGATAGGGGGGGCGGGGAGTGCATTCTCGAAACTTGGTAGGAAGGATTCGCATTACTATCAAAATATTACTATTTTGTCGACAATAAATGATGTGATTTATGATGATTGGTCTACTTGTTTAATTGGGTTTATTTATATTAAATTTGTTATAATAAATTTGAGTGCAGTAGAAAAACGCCGAAACATAAAATTTTGAGAATCACTGCTCTAGATCAGGGTTGCGCAACCTTTAATACGGAAGGGCCAATACAAATACCTGTGTGAAACTGCGAGTCGTACCTTTATTTAACATAGACTTTCTAGTAGTTGCAGGCAAAAAAACTTTGGTTATTGATCTTATGACATGCGTTGTTCGCTTCGCACAAGCTAGCTGTTAGGGCATTGTAACATCATAGGCACAGAGAATAGATTGGACTCAGGTATAGGTTTTCAACGCAAATGGATTGGACTCACTCGCATGTACCAGATTAAACTAATTTAAAAACTCCTTTCGCGGGTCGCATAATTATTTCCTGTGAGCCACATTTGGCCCGCTGGCCGCAGGTTGCACACCCCTGCTCTAGATGACCATCGCGTCAGGGCTAATTAAAGTCGTTCATATTCGAACATACCATCAACATATAACTTCATATTAAATTCAGTCACATATTACTATACAAAAAGTTAAGTGTCTTGTTATTAAAACTCTTAGCAAGTTAAATCCAACATAAATCAAGAATGGAGAATTCCAGAGACAAGATCAAAGCATGGGAACATAGGCTTATATACATAATTATGAATGGAAATTTCCATATCGAGCAAAAAATAAAAGAAAATAGACAGTTGCATTAAAAGATTACAGTTTGAAAGTGAGAAATAAAAAACTTTTAACAAAATTACACAAAAACTCAGCAGTTGAGTACACAAACAAGATTAAAACTGAAAACAGTCCAAAGCAGAGCTTAGTATATAATATACATAAATTGATATTAGGGGTGCACCCTTGAGGGGGATGAGGGTCAGACGCCCACCTTTTTCGAAATGTAAAGCATTTTTCTGTATTGTACATAGTATACTTTTCATGGCTTGAAACACTTTTTAAAAGCCCTGAGACTCCTGAAAACCCACATCTTCCAGCCTCTGGTGGACCACCCAATAGCTATTACATTCTATCTTGGCAATTAGAAATTTACGAACCTCCCCCCACCCCCTTCAAAATTCAACATCAATATTCAGCATGGATGGTAAAGAATCATTCTAAATAATATTATAGATGCTTGATCACTGGAATATTACAAATTTTATAATAAGAGCATTTCACTTTAAAAATAGAAACCATGGATTTGAATGAAAGTAATAACAAGCGTTTTTCTGCATTTTTCAGCTAATAAAAAAATATCAACAAAAAAATGCAAGGAACATGATAACTTTAAATACATAAAATACAGTTTCAATGGTTCTCTCAGTAGCCGGCTTCGAAAATTCATCAGAAACGTCTAAAAATTTCACATAATTCAAATTCTATGATAAAGACACTTTTTGCAAAATCATGACTGATTTGTTTTTACGGTCAGAGTCAGATTCACATTATTAACTCACTCCGACCTTCTCACAATGAGTGTAACTGAGTAGGTTTTTTGATGACCTTCTCACAATGAGTGTGACTGAGTAGGTTTTCTGAGTCTTTCTAATCACAGCAGCGTGTAGGCATGTGTAATAAAACTTGGCATTAAATATATTTAGTTTCAACATACATTTCGAAAAACATCTTATACAGACATACCCAGGTCGATGGAAAATTTTAAAGAGATTGACCTAATAAAACAGGTTCAAAAAATAGGTTCACAATATTATGTCAATATTTACTAATACACAGTGTATTAGGGATGTCGCTGCCTTAATAACTTGCTATTCTAATTTTTTCTATGTCAATAATTCAAGAATACTATGACATGAGCTAAAAAATATTTGAGCAAAATCATGCCAGATATAACATAAAGCAAAACGAAGTAATCCTGATCTTCTATAATTTTAAAAAGGAACCAATCAAATTAATTTCAATTTTTTTTTTTAATTAAAATCATTGGGTATGTTACAATACTAGCAATTTACGATATTTCCAGAGTAGGTAGATATCATCTTCTATACATTGTCATATGACTTGGAAAAATAAAACCAAGATTTAATGGTAATTATATCTTATTGATTTCTGGCAAAAGGTTTTTTCAAATGCTTGAGCGTGATTGATGATGACCGACTACCTGTAAAGTTAAAGTGTGCCTAGTTTTTTAGGCAGTTTGTATTGAAGACAATTTGGATTGAATATGGGCATTCACTAATTAGGTGCTCCCGAAGTACGTGCACCAAGATGTCACACAACCTGAACATAGTATTGTACCAGGTTAGGGTTCAGGTTGTGCGCCATCTTGGTGCACATACTTCCGGAGTACCACTAAATATACATTTACATCGGGTAATAATAAATGTAATAAATTTTATCATATCAAATTCAATGCTAGTATTGTTATATATTTATCTCACCAAGATTAGTCAGAATCTGAATCACTGGTATCAGATTCCGAAATTTCCATTTTTGTTCCATCACCCGCCAACATAGATGTGACCATATAATCCTTAACTTCCTTTTGTTGTGAAACGAACGAGTGTATCTCTTTGATAGTTCTTCCAGATCTTAAAACCTCCTGAGAAATTTAGGAAAAGGTAGTAGGTTTGTGAAAAAAGATATTTGTATAAGGCTGGTTGGTAATTCTAATTTGCAACTGATTTCTAAAATCTAATATTCCAAGAAAATTTTCTAAAAAAATTAAATCAGGATTTCATTCAAAAATGGCGAATTTTACATTAAAAACAGTAATTTTTGATATAAGTTTCTCAAAAAACACCTTTTTCGTATAGTGACGGAATTGAATACTTTTTGAACCAAGTTATCTGGACATCCCGAGTCCTGATTTATCCAAGTGACATTACAATGAAGTATTCAAATGGCAAATGATATGATAGTCTAGATTGGTGATCAAGTTTAGGGTATAAATGCAATAATTCCAATTATTATTAAGCTATGTAATATTTACTTCAAATAAGGTTCTACATCCTACAACTCAAGCAGACACTATGACAATACAATTATAAAGATTGAGAAGACACAATCCTTCTGTTTGAAAACGGCTACCTATTTTACTTTTATGTTTGGGAAGGAATTTTAATATTCATTCTATTTATGTATTGTTGATATTTAATTCATAATACCGCTAGACTTGCTGTAGACATTCCTTTCTTCAATATCTCAATCAGTTGTCCTTCAGCAACACCATCAGAATATAACAAGTCATCAATGGAGAGAGGTCCACCAACTCCTCCTAAAAAATGAAATGATATATCAGAATTACTTGATAATAATTATTCGAGTTAATAAGATATAATTCATTTTTGAGTATAAAATGGATAGCTAACTCATATCATATAGCAAAGCTGTTGAAATAGGTCAGTCACTAAAATTTTTTTACAAAAGGCCAGATAAATACGAAGATTGCTGCTGCACGCTAGATCAGCAGCACATCCAGTGGGGTTTTTGAAAAACCTGAAAAGTTGCTAATAATGTGTTTTCTCAGGGCTGATTTCATTATAATTGTTGATTGTTTTCGACAGCGTGAAATGATATTTAGTCTGCCATCAACTTTTCATCCGTACCACAAAAATTCTCCCTCTACAATACAGCTTGCGCCATAGGTACATCGATAATTAGTTCCTCACAAATTTTGCATCCAGTAAAAAAGCATGTTATTACGTGAATATTAGTAATGGAGTTGAAGATAATTAAGTGAGTGAATTTGCAACCCAAATTTTTGATTGTCAATCGAGAAGCAAGAAGATAAAAAAAATTGTGTTACAAGTCAACCCATTTTACCCTTTTTTGCCTTTTGTGTCGACTGAATGTCTTTTCAATGTTCCTAAATGTACCCCTATAACATTAAGTGAACAACAAACAACTGTGGTATTTGAATTTTCATAACGACAAAAAAATGTTGAAAATCGCACTGCGCATTACTCATTTAAAATTTAAATCGATATCATACACACTTAAATAAAAATTGAAAGAAATATATAGTATACAGCACACGGGTCATAATTTGACGACCTCTGTTCCAGAAGAACGTGGTTGTTAGAAAAAAATGCAACTAAACAGTGATTACATAAACCACCTAGCAAAGAAAAATGTTCAATGAGTTCAGTGATCTTCTTGGACATTATCACATTCAATTTTGTTTAAACAATGACGCCACTTTTATGTATAGTAAGAATGTATGTCAAATCAGTAACACAAATGATTAAAAATGGAATGATATCATTTCCAAAACCATTGCCATGCCAAGATGAATCATTACAATTAGTTCTCTAAATGCTATCAATATATATCAGCATACAAAGTTCAGCAATATACAAAATTAAAATAAACTAATGGTAGTTGATCATTCGAATAACTCAGTTAACATAACCAGCACTATAGATCTGCTATGCAAGATAATAATTTAATGAATATAGCATCTGAAAACTTACAAACTTTATTGGATAAAAACTCTCATATGTATGCCCAATTGATCTCAGATACAAATAATGATCCTCATCAAATTTATTTTTTCAATACGTTTGACCCTCAGTGTACTAACAATGTCCAAAACACAGATTCCAGTTTTCGAAAATTTTAAAAAAAATGTGGAGCTCACCTCTTTTGGCCCACCTCAGTTTTTAGAAGGAATTTAAAATTACTAATTCTTTTAAAAATCAACTTAAAAAATGACTATCATCAGCCATGCCAGATACGTTTAAAACGTGGTATAACAAATGAATTAAACACTGTTTATTACCAACGACGAGCCATGCTAATTTTCAAGTGCATACATTGCCTAATTAGGTTGTAGATCATCATACTATAACGTTCTGTCTGAGCCCGGTGGCAACATCTGCCAATATCCTAATTAATGCGATTTTATACTCACATCAGAGACATGAAATAGTAGTGACTCAAGTCAGGGGAACCCTTGAATTATGCGTGACAAAGAAAGTATAACCAAAATAAACTACAAGTACCAAGTATTACCACAAACATCTTGCATATCATCTTACCTTCTCCAATCGTAGTATTTTGGTTGTTGTAAGTTGCTTGTCCGCCAATGTTAGCTTGTGCGAAATTCCCTCCACTAATTGCATAGTCTGACCTATGAGACCCAGCATGGTAATCTGGAGAATAAGAAAATATTTCATCAAAAAATGTTGGAAATTATAAAAAAATTTAAAGATGAATTGCAACACTATTTTGCTTATTTTCGAATAGCTATCTAAACAGGTATACATTGATAAGTCAGGAGATAATATTTTTGAAAGGATCAGAATCTGTCCAGTTTCAACCCGGGTTGAAGTGGTAGCCATGGTATATCAAAGATATGTAACTTGCAATGCCAACATAGATAAGTTAAAAAAAAAATTCGCTAGGAAATCGTACCCAGTATACCAGTATTTTTTTTTTATCTCACAGATGGGTAAATAAATACAAAAACAATGTATTTGATGTCTTATACAATATTATACTAAATTAATTTAAAGGAATCACAATATTACGTTCTGTCTTGTTGTTGAAGACTGTTTTTCCTTGGTTACCAATAGCAACTTGTCCAATGGTGCTTCCAGTGATGTTGAACTGATTTCTGACTCCACCCATAGGCGGATTGATCACTGGGGCCCGAGGGGGTTTTACACGAGGTTGTTGCACATACACATGACTATCTACTGAACTTGAAGTTGTTTCTTTTACCATATCTGAATATCATATAAGGATTGAGAATTGAATAAGAAATAGTACTAAATGTTAGAGAGTTTGCTTGCCATTCTACATATGATAACCTTGAGTGGGTTCTGAAAATTGTGTCCTCACCTACCCTAATGCTCAAATACATGGTGCTCACTGCTCAGCTATTTGAATTGTTACAGAGGCGGGAAGTTATTTGCAATTGTGATATAAAGTATTGAATTGCCAGATAACGGATTTCATAGGCTAACGATACTAAGCTTAGTCATTGGGCGCTCCAGAAGTATGCGTACCAATATGGAGGTAACTAATTTTGATCACCTACTTTCATCATGTTGGGTAAAGGGACTGAAATCTATGGTCAGGGGTTATATTCACCTGGCTTACAAAGACCGTCCCAAACTCGTAATAGAACTAAAAAAAGGAAATTTGGAATAAAATTATGGCCTAACCCTAACCTGGTGCATACACTACACGAGTACCACGAATTTAAATATCAGAACATTGGTGTAAACAAACTTTCAAGTTGTTCTGTTCTGTGAAAATCACTCACTTGCTCTGCCTGCTATTCCACCAACAGGTACACCAGGCCCAACACGAGGATTTGGGGAAGCATAATTTGGTTTTTCTGCCTTTTCAACCTGCACGACACCTTTTCCTATTTTAACATGCCCACCATCACCAACAAGAGTGCCAGCATGTAAGTTATTCATATTGTATTGCTTTGTTACTGTTTGTCCACTGCGGTTTTGAGTAATAGTCGTTACTCCATTTTGTCCTATTGTCACCGTCTTCCCATCTATTGTAAATTAAGGTATTGATGAACAAGTTGATAGATTGATACAAATTAACTAATGAATAGGATGAAATTTTTGAAATATATATAGGAGAGAAAAGATGATAAAACTGCTGAATCATGTAGTCGAGTCACTGCCATCACCGAGATATCAGTTTGAGTTTTGACATGAAAATAGCACAATAAAATGGAAGCTTGGTTAGAGGCGACAGCTATTATGCTACAAACTTTGACGAAGATTAATTATAGCATATTACAGAGGATTTTACATGATGGATGATTATATAACATCAAAATTTTCATTTTTTTTTCTCTGAAGAACTGAAATTTTATGAAATAATCTTCACATTGGATGTTTGATTCACGTTATTGACTTAAAAGAAAATGCTGACAGTTTGAACTCTCATCTGCTGGTGAAAAGTCACAATAAATGTATAAGCACTTGCATAAAAAATGCATTGAAATTGTTCCTATAGAATTTCTATTCATTGTATTTAAGAAATTGCTTACTGATACATTGAAACAAATACAGCATTAGCATTTCAATGCATCTATTTTTATGTATACTTTTTCCATGATACTTTCTATGATATGCCAGAAAACCTTTGTTTGCAACTAGTTTGATTTTATACTTTTAGTTTTCTTGGGAGTTCAGAATTGGAGTCAGAGTCAAAGTTTTTTTCAACCTGGAATCGGGACCTGAAATTTTTGTTAATCTGGAGTCAGTTTCGAGAAGGCTTCACAGTTCCGGTACAAATACAACAATTAAAATATTTCCAAATTGATATTAATTTTAAAAATAGTCCAGCTTTTTTGTATATCCCTGATATTCTATTTAAATAAAATATTCAAAGAAAATGGCAAACCACCAATTTTTCCATCATTTCCAAAAAAAAAAAACAGATTCAAATATTAAAATTGTTAGCTCACTTTTAAGAACATGGGTGTGAGACATCTTGATTAATTTCTATCTTGTTCAACTTCCCAAAAAACGTTCTGAAAGTCCAATCCACTTTCTTTTTAAAAATGCCACAATGGCAACACCAAAAATGATAAAACAGTATTATCTAAAATTGTCTGTTTAAAAAAAATAATACCGAATAAAGGGAAAATTGCTTACAAGAGATAAATAGAAAATCTGAATCCAAATTCTGTATAACAAAACAGTGCTTTCAGTAACTGTACCAAACGTGAGTTCTCTTCTCAGAAATTTTATTGTGGTTTCGGATACAATGCATGACATGAGACTCTGAATTAATTCAAGCCAGGGTTGTTTGGGGGACAGCTAGACCAGTGGTTCTCAACCTTTTTTCTTCAGTGGCCCACTTTTATTGCACAAAAAATTCTGTGGCCGATCAACTTTCTCTTGCAAGGGAGAAAAACTACAAGAAAAACACTGTTTAATTATTTTGCAGATACTGTTAATTTTGAGGCAAATAAACATACAAACAAGTTATTAGAAAATCTGTTATGAGGAAAATTTTCAAGCAAGACCCTTTGCAGTGAAACTTTGTAGTTTGTACGAATGGTAACATATTCTGACAAATGCGTCACAGACACAAATTCGGAGTCTATAAAAACGCATGAATAATATACCTAGTTCAGTACGGCACAGTTCTGCGATTCTCCAAAGCGCAATCTGTAAACATCATGATTGGATTCCTTGAAAAAACAGGTATGAGCTTTACTGAAAAAAAAAAATTTACAGTACCATTCAAGAATTTTCGGCAAAAAATCGCAATTTTTGTTATGTGAGGCCGACAAACGTTGTGCTTAATTTAGAATTGTTATCGAGTCAAGCATGCCGCGATCTGGTGCATCTGCCGTCGTGCCAGACACCCTCAATTCGGGGAAAAATAGAGTGTTTGCTTTATTAAACCAAATGCTGAAATGCCAGGACATCTTGCAATCGAAGACACATTTTGGGTCTCCTGAAGTACGCACCCTCAAGTACTTATAACCAAATGCTTGCCAACTAAACATACGATCGCCCGAAATTGGCGCATTCGATAAAGAACTGACTGACGTTATCGATCTCTCTCCTATTGGAATCGTTGTGACGAGAAACAAGAGAAATACCTATTCGATTTCGGGTGCTCGTTTGCGCGTCTTGGATGGCAGTTCATATAGTTTGAAGGGCTCTATTACATCACTGTGAAGTCGTAATGATGTAATGTTTGGATGGTGTAGTCCGGTGGGGGTTAGGATTGATACGTGAAAAAATTGTCATGCACGCCCACTAGATTACTAGAAGTAGACTATGTTAGGTACGAAACTACATGAGACCCCAAAATTACTGTATTCCCCACAAAACCGAGAAATTCATTGATGGGCGTCTTAATGTTGATTTGACTTCATTATGTAGGTATGTTACAAAAAAATTAAAGTTCATCCGATTTAAATAAAAACTGCACCAGTGGATAGATCTAAGTGAAAATAAGATAACAATACCAAGTTTGCGGAAAACGATCAGGAATTAACGGAGATATCGGTATTTAAGTACCGCCCGATAGGCCAATTTTTTCCATAAGGATTGTATTGCGCCTACTCAAAAACTGTGACCGCGAGAATGTCAGACGGATAAACAACAGAATGTATCTCGGCTATTTTTGAAGGTAATCGAAAAAAATTAAGAACGAAAAGTTATTGTGAATAGAAGAACCTAATGCAAAAAAGTTTACAAATTCTTTTTAACGATATTAGCTGCTTTCCAATTAATTATGTACGAGAAAGTCTCTGAACTTTACATAACCTCTGGTCGGCAACGACTTTCCCACTACGCAAGTCCCCGCCTACGCAACAATTAACTGATTTAGCGTTTTTCATATCCGACCTTAATGAACGATTTTTTATCCTTTAATATTCCTCAACTCGTAAGATATTTACCGCGCTTAGTGAAACGCTAAACGAGCGAAATCGCTGCGAGGGAAAATGTCGGCATTCAATCGATAACCGATGCGCGTTGACAGACGCGTGCTAAGATCATACTTCCCGTGCCTTGAATTAATTTGTCCCGTTTCGTAAGCGTATGTAAATTGACTTTTTTTAATAAGAACTTTAATGAATATGGAAAAAGAATATCAATCCTTAATCTTTCGATGTCCGTCACATTTAAGAAAAATTGGGATTATTTTAGGATTTTATTCTGGCAACGATCATTGAGGCCGTCGGAAGATCGTCGCAAATCAACCCTGGAGTTGTGCATATTAGTTTGACAGTGCCTCGTTGCGGATAATAATTAACAAGGTTCTGATCCAACAAACTTCATAAAAATTGGTAAGTATCAAGTTAGGAATGACATACATGCATCTATATATATTTTATTGGTGTCCATAGACCATATTATTAATTTGCAGTACGTATAACTTTAGCGTAATTTTTAAAAGCCCCGAATGTTGGGAAATTTATGCGCTAATGAAAAAATTCAAATACCGAATCATAGTTGTGTATTTTATCTAAGTTATGTCAAAATTTCATGGAATTCCAAACAACAGCAGGCAGTCCGTAGTCGTTTTTATGAGCGATATTCTGACACGGCGTAACAGTACTTATCAGACGTGGTGCGTACATTTTTTGGCGCGAAAAAGCGCGCTTTGTAACATTCCTACATTATGGTTACTCAAATGTCTATAATTCTAATTTTATTTAGATTTCATTGACCATTATTTTCGTGAATGAGATAGTTTGAAATAATCCTGACAGATATCTATGGTACTACTTTTCACATCATTATTTTTATGACTGAATCATAATGGGGGGTGAGGACTTACATATGCAAAAATTATTCTGCTACACCCAGTACCGGTATACTGATAGAAGTCTTGCTGTATTAAAGTACACTAGATTCTAGACCCCTGATCTGCCACCGACAGCATTTACTGCCAAAATTAATATAATACATAACATCTTTTTCAAATTAACTTCAAATGACAGAATACCGGTAATCAACTTCCTCACCAAATACCGGTACATAATCCTGTAATCACGCAGACACTTCTCCTCGAAAATCTGGTGAGACAAATCAGGAAGTTTCTGATCTGACAATAGATATTTCCTCGACCCTTCACCCTAGGAAAAATTTTCGAGCATTGTTGGTTGTTACGGAAATAAACATGGAAATCGATGCTTGAGGAAATATTCATTGTTGCCCTGGTTGTGATTTTAGAATTTTCATATAGAGAATAAGATCTCAATAATACCGTACTGTTATAGCGACACGCGTCCGACTACCAGTCAAGTCGAAAAGACGATGGAGTTACGGACGGAAAAGCAATTAAAACAACAGTTTCGAAGCAAAAATGCCACCTAACAAAAATAATAGATTCTCACCCGAGCATCGACTTTCTTGTTTGAATTCAAACAATCTGAAATAAATAGTAAGTAACATTTGAAATACTGTATAATATGCTGCCGCCCAGACACATTCAGATTTTCATGCACGATTGTCACTAGTTGAACACTATTTTGATTTATTCCCGTAACATTGTCCAATCGGCAAAAGTGCAATGAGGGACGTTACAATGGACGTTTCAGCTGCCGCTGAAATATTTTGCTACTCAGACAGATTTTCAAGCATGGTTATAAACATTCCCTCGTCTAGGTGTTTTTCGTGCTATTTGTTAGTTTTAAGTTGCGTTTTGGTAAATTTGGGTAAAAATCAAATCATCGATCCCTTTGTCTTGTCGCAGGAATTTTAGTTTGATTGCATTAATCAAAAATTGGTATAGAAATAGATGTGACATATATACTAGGCTAAACTTATCTCCAAGATTATTTAAATGAAAGGTTTTTAAAATGTTTAGAATCAAAATGATGGTTTGAAACACATAAACCGGGTTACAGGCGCTAACTCGTGAAACAACTCTTAAAATAAGCACCAAAAATTTCGCAATTGTAGAGTATGGGTAGAATTTTCATGGCATCAAAGATCGTGGTAAATACCATTCTGTTTAATGCCATCTATCAAGGCGCGATATGGGAAGCACAACCATTGAAACACCCCCAATATTTTCACTTAGAATTTTGGTACAAATATTTGAGAATATAGTACTTGAAACAAGAATATTTAGAATGTTTGTATGAAGAAATCATATGAAATTTAAATTAGCGATGTTAATCATAACCATATATGCTCATTGTCATAACTTATTATTGTCAATCCAATTTTGAACTCCAATAACTTATTATTGTCCATCCAATTTTGATTTGAACTCATCAACTAACAGTTTTGTGAGTAGGTTAGAGTAAGTGATCTGAGTAGAAGTAGTGCGACGGTCAATTACATATAAAAAAATAAATGAAAATCCAAGAGTTGAGCCATTGTGAGAACGCCACAGAAAAGTTGTTGAAGAACAATTGTGTCTTAAGTTCTGATGCAATTTTGCAAAATCTTTGACACTTTGAAGCTTGTTCTTAAAGCCCAGAGAAATTACGCGCTAATTCATGAGGTAGGCTACAGCGTCACCAACATATAGATTATAGATTGATTATTTGGTAAATGCGTGCCACTGTTATGTTGTGTTTTCTTATCAAATTGGCGTCGGGAAAATGTGCATACAACGGAATAGATGACAAATATTTGTATCGTAATTCAAAAACAACCGAAAACGAATTTCTATATTTCAATGAAATATCTAGTGATTACACTTGGTGTGGTTATTATTGTAGATGTTTCTTGTTCGGGACTTCAAGCACCAAGACATTCTAAAACTGAAAGCCTCGTCTTGCGTCGGTGAAATATGGATGCCGGAATTGTATTTTGATATGTAGGCCTACAGTATTTCAGTCTTGTTCGGAAGGGCATGACAATACCACTACTATTTGAGAAAAAATAGGTGAGGTAAGTTCAACTAAATTTTTGAGATGGCTGAATTTTATGTAGACAGTAAAGCTAGAATTAATTTTGATGTGTTTCAGGATGTGGAAAAGTTTTGGATATATGTAATGACTTATTACGCAGTTTTCAGTTTGTTTGTTTCTGTGCGATTCAAAATTAGTTACATATATATGTTAGACAGGATTCTCAAAATGGTGTTTATTATTATTAAAATAATTCGTATAACAAGCATTAACTTGAAAATTCTTAGGCCTGGCAGTGAATAGAAGAATTTTTTGTTTTGAGATTCCACACTGAAATATTTTTGTGATTTCGTAATTTTCATTGAAATAATAGGTTTATTGTTTTTCCTTATTTTACTAAATACCACAACATGACCAAATTTTAATTTTTTATGAATACAATATAGATGGACCCGGGGTACAACTGCAGACCTAGTTTGGGGTCGTCCCGAGAGAGAAACTCGAATGGCCGAGGCAACCCTGGACTAGGCAACGTAATCACCTGGCAAACCATATCCTGCCTATCG